CTGGCTATGCGAGGTCTTTTCTGGTTCCATACAAATTTTAGGATTATTTGTTCCATTTCTTTGAAAAAAGTGGATGGTATTTTGATGGGGAGGAAATTGCCTTTCTTAACAATAAAATTTGAATGCAAATATGTCACAGTTTATAGCACAATAGAATCAGGATCAAAGAAACTGGAAGAGCGAGGCAGAGTTTGCTTTTGAAAAAGCATTTCAGGGATTTTCCTCCTTGATTGTCTATGCAATAGGAACTATCCTGGTTTTTCTTTTCAGATTACACATTGAGTGCCAGGTGTCAGGAGGGGAGCGGGGTGCCAGAGCATCCCTTCTGGGCCATGCTGAACCCTGGGTTATGAAGTCCACTCCACTCCTGGAGACGGGTCCCCAAGGGACTGTGGGACACCCCCCTCTCTTCACAACTCGCAAATAAACATCACTTAGAAAAAACTTTGCCATCAGTACACCAGCGGGCAACAAAATGGATACTTCTTAAATATTCCAAGATCATACACCCTTTTCAGCAATCCCATTAGAACTAGGCTTTAATTTTTAACAACGCCCATTTGATTGGATAGAAATTATTTTTCTACAACTTTCCTTTAGCCAAAAATGTTATAAATTGTTTTTACTCTGTGCTTTATATACCATTTGGACCTGGTGTGTCAAAATTAAATTTCAAGAGAAATAAATGTATGGAAAGATCAGCTGAGTTGAGCCCTCATCCTGAAAACATTGCATACAAAAGATACGAGTAACTAGTGGTTAGTAAACAACCACACACATATTTTTTGGTATTTTAATTTCTCATTCTGATGACAGAAAACATTAGAGGCACACGACATAGAAAGTGAGCTTCTCCAGTAATTCCATTTCCAACGTCAAACCTCAGAGGCCGTGTGTGTCTGGCCCACCTGCTCGTAGAGAGTAGGGCAATGCCCGTGTGTGAACACACCCAGGAGTGTATGTAGAAGTAGAAATATTTGGGGCGCTTGGGTGGCTCAGTCAGTTAAGCATCCGACCCTTGATTTTGGCTCAGGTCGTGATCTCAGGGTTGTGAGATCGAGGCCCGAGTCCGGCTCCACTCTCAGTGTGGTGTCTACTTAAGATTCTCTTTCCTTCTCAAATAAAATAAATCTTAAAAAAAAAAAATAGAAATTTTTAAAAAGTTTATTTATTTATTTAGATTATTTATTTATTTTTTGACAGAGAGAGACACAGCGAGAGAGGGAACACAAGCAGGGGGAGTGGGAGAGGGAGAAGCAGGCTTCCTGCTGAGCAGGGAGCCCGATGTGGGGCTTGAGCCCAGGACCCTGGGATCATGACCTGAGCCGAAGGCAGATGCCTAACGACTGCGCCACCCAGGCGCCCCCCAAAATAGAAATGTTTGCTTCCAGCAGACGGTTTGAAGTACTTCTGCCCAGGGGAGAAGGCAAGGGGCGGAGGGCCTTATGCTGGTGCTGGGGTAGCACACTGCGCCGTCTCTCAGCTAGGGCTGGCTGAGAGAGTGGGGAGCCTGGGGGTGGGGTGGCTCAAAGGAAACACTTCAGGGTGGCATTCCTCAGTCTGGGAATAAGGACAGGGAAGGGGAAGAACTGGGAGGTAGCAAGCGATCGCCGAGGTGCCAAGAGGCCACTGGAGAGGCAGCGGTGCAGAGGGAAGGTTGCATATACCCCGCCCTCAGTGACTGCAGGAGACTCCCCTGCACACCCTGCCACGGGGGGTGGGCGGGGAGCTGTGCATGGGTCAGAGCTCACAGATGGGCTCCTGCAGGGCGGAGGCGGCAGTGTCCCCCCCAGGCAGCACAGAGCAACTGCTCGGGACAAAGCTCTCTCCGAGATGTGGGAGCCAGCGGGGTCTGCCTCCCCTTCTGTGGTCCATGTGGTCCATGGGGGTGACGCTGGGCCAGACCTCGCCATGGTGGAGCGACGCTCCCAGGCCGACAACATGGGACAGGTGAGCTGAAACAGGGAACCCCACTTACTCAGGGCTGTCTTTCTGAAATGGGTTTCAGCTGAGACTTGAAATACACCCTCCGCCCCTCCACACACGCCCCGTCGTCCTCCCGGTGCTAACCCTCCAGGGAGTAACTTCCTCCGCCACACCACCGTCTGTCTGCACATCACAATGCGGCCTATCCTGGCCAAGGCCTCCACCTGAGATCTTCTGTTTAGTTCTCTTTTGTTCAAGGCTGAGATGACCTCAACTCACAATTCCCGAAAGCGCACCACTGTTGGCATCCCGGTTTGAGATTTTCTAGGCGAAATAGCCGGGGTGAGCCATTCCCGTCGGAGATCTGGGTACCGGCCCAATGGCAAGCCTCCCGTGGGTGCCCGGCATTCAAGAAGACTACCTCTTCCTCCTGCAAGTTTGCGCGGTGGGTTTAGTGAGTGAGGACAGGCTTCCTGTGGTTGGGGGAGGACATGCCATTTGTTTGGTGGAGAGTGGCTTCACGACTGCAGGTAACCGGCTTCTGCCAGCCCCCGGCACCGCCTGCTGGCCTTCCAGAAGTGCCCACGGAAGTCGGGCCATTGCGAGTTTCATCTCTTTTACCTCCTGGCCAACCCCCCCACCCCCCGGCCTTGGCAATGCTATCCCCCCACCCCCAGGGGAAGCTCACGTGGCCTCTAAAGACCCTGATACAATGCGCTCACTGCAATGGCTGATTCCAGAAAGGCCATGACATGTGTGTGGGGGGGGAGGGGGTGCTACATCCGACAGGGAGAGCAGGGTATCAGAGGATCCCGGCTTTCATCGGTGAGCGTGACTCAGTCTTACCCTCCAGCTCCACACTGGCTTGCGGCTGCACTCCCCTCTCCCTCCCCTCCCCCAATCCCTTCAGAACCGGCTCCCTTTGTTACTGGCTTTGTCACCATCGCTTCAGCAAAACCTGGAGCGGGCCAGAAGGTGCCCCTGCAAGAGTTACGTCCACGTCCTAACCCCTGGAACCTCGGAGTGCAAACGGATTTGGAAAAAGGGTGTTTGCTGATGTAATTAAGAATCTTGAGACTAGATCATCCTGGATTACGAGAGGAGCCCTAAATCCAAAGACAAGTGTCCTAGGAGCCACAGAAGAGACACGGACAGGATAGTGGGCCTTGAGAAGACACAGGCGGAGAATGGAGTTCCACGGCCACAAACCAAGGAGCCTCGGGAGCCCAGGAGCTGGCCGAGGCAAAGGATTATCCCCCAGGGCCCGCAGAGGGAACTCGGCCCCGCTGGTACCTTGATTTTGGACCTCTGGCCTCCAGAACCCTGAGAATTCCTATTGTTCTAAGCCGCTTGGCTGGTGCTAGGTGCTAGGTGCTAAGTGCTAGGTGCTAGGTGCAGCCGCGGGGAGCTCAGACAGCGCCCTCAACAAAGCCAGTGTCCCTGCCCAGTCCTACGCCTGCCCGCTCAGCAGCAGCACCAGGAGGCGACTGTCCCATCCTCAGGCACTGCCTTCCCGGCTCCTCACTGCTGTTTTCCCACCTCATGGGACACTTTCACAATCTTCCAGGCTGAGTCCCTCGCTTCCCCCTACTGCTGAATGTTGGAGCCCCCAGCACGACCCTCACGAATCCCCTCGGTGAAATCATCCTGTCCCGTGGCACTAAACACCACCTGCCCTCTCTGCTCCCGATTTCCTTCTGCAGGAACCTGGCGAGGCAGAGGCTCAGAAACTATTTGGAGGATGAGTAACATCTTTTCACATAAATCACCATTTTAAATGTGTTTACCATAGCGGGGCGCCTGGCTGGCTCTGTCAGTGGAGTGTGCGACTCTTGATCTTGGGGTTGTGAGCTCAAGCCCCACGGTGGGTGTAGAGATCACTTACAAAAATTAATATATGTGTTTATCATATTCATTTTGGAAGCACTCTCAGATGTACTCTCTTGTTCTTCTCATAAAAGCCCTGTGGCTTTTGAGTGACTGGGTGCTGGTCCTTCGGCTATTTTGTGGCAAAACCCAGGTTTCTGGATCTTTCAGGCCTCTCCTACCGCCCTCTGACAGGCTGGAGCACCGCCCTGAAGGTTCTGTTGCACTAATCGTGCTGTTCCGAGGTTTCTCTGCATTAGGAATCCTGTCTTGTGACTCCATCCTCTGATTATCAAGGCTTCTCAAGAGGCTTTCTCTCTGGAACAGGGGTTGGCAAAGTAGGATCTGCAGGCCAAACCCGGTAGGCTCTCTGTTTTCGTAAAGCAAATCGTACTGGAAGGCAGCCACACTCCTCTGCGTGCATAGTTCTGGCTGCTTCTGTGCTCCGACAGCAGGGCCGGGCCGATAGCCCACAGCCGAGCATTTTTACTCTCTGGCCCCTTTACAGAAACGGCTTGGAATTAGCCACAGGGAAGGCTTTCTCCTCCTTGCTGTGTTTGCACCCTCGGTCTCCTGCATCCATTCTGGGAGAAGGGAAGGGATGATCTTTTTCCGCTTTCCCACTAGTCAGACTCCAGGCTTGGAAATGGTATGAAACCTACTATGCTGATGACAGTCTTGGTGATTGTTGGCCACCTTTCTGCCCTCCTCCCTCCCCATCAAGGCCTCTCCCCGAAGTGGAGTCTCTGACGATCAGTAAGGTTGGGATTCCTCCTAAAGGCCTTCCCACATCTGCAACAAAGAAAAGCAGCCTCCTGAGAAAAGGCCTCTCCGCACTCCTTACCGATGCACATATACTCCCTCCCATCGCGAAGAAAAGGAGAAAGCGCCTCGTCGTCTTGGAAGGTTCTTCCATACTCATTATATTCACAGAGCTTTTTCGATTATGAAGTACCGATGAGCAGCCTGAGCGACTGACTCCTGGGGCTTTCTCTCCACCCTCAGCACTCAGGAGACTTCTTGCCCGGAGTGGGAAGCTGGGAGCTGGCGCTAAAGGTTTTGCCACGCTGCTCACTGCCACGGGCCTTCCGTCTGCTGCGGTGCTCGGAGCCCGAGACACACAACTGCCCACACCTGCTGCGGGAGTGCGCTCTGGCGTGAGCACACCGACGCCCGGGCACGTGTCTGTTTCTCGGCGCTTCCTCACGCTCCTTACCTCAATCAGACTGCTGGCGAGCGCAATTCCTGTGGGCTGCAGGAACGGGAGAGCGCAGACCTCTCAGCAGATTTTCCGCCAAGCAGGAGGTCGTGACTTCCCAGGGGACCTCTTCCCGCACTCGCCATACTTGAAGGATCTTTTCTTCTAAAACCTCTTGTGGTTTCTCGGGACTCAGGACATTCTACAAAATTAGATCTCTGGGGCCCAGCCTTTGGGAGTTCTCCCCACGCCTTCCCTGCAAACTGAGCGTCCTCAGAAATGCCCTGCTTCCCAGCCGCCTCTGCCTCCCTGCCTCCGCCCTCACCACCTGACAAATAAAAACCCGGCAGGACCTGATAGCCACTGTGCACCAAAACCAACCTGAGAACAGAAGCACCGAAGAGAGAATGCTGATGTGCAGCCCTCGTCCTCCCAAGCCGTCGCGGTAAGGGAGGGAAGGGAGCTGGGACGGGGCCGAGAGCCAGCCGACAAGGAAGGCCGAGTGTGCTGGTAACACAGAGTGAGAGGGAGGAACGAAGGGCCGGGCAAAACACCTAGGGAATGAACAGCACAGTCAGCTGATGTGTAGAGATGAAGTCAAGCCCCAGAAGGAAAGGGGTAAGAAAACAAAGCAGCAGGTAAAGGGGAACGGCTGCGGGCGAAGCTCCTCGGGGTCTTCACTGCACGCAGACGGCCCAGGCAGAGGCAGACGTCAGAGGCTGTCCTCCAGGTGCTCATGGCTAACCCAGGGGAGAGGAAATGCACACTGGGGTATTCCTGTAGAAGTTTCTATCCGATTTCCCCTGGTGGCCAAGAGACCAAGAGAAAATGAGGAATCATCTAAATCGGCGTTCTGCCCAAGGCACACGGGAAGGAGTTGCCACAGGAGGGGAGCTAAGGGACTCCCCTCACTCACCAGTGTGAGCAAAGCCCTCCATCCTTAAGTGGCCGGCAGATCTGGTACCCATCATGCTTCCCCTTGTTCCAGGAAGATGATCAGATTAGGTTGGGAAAAATAAAATTCTATTCATAGCACTGGGAACAGGAAAAGGGGAGATAATGGACCCAAAGCAGCCTTAGGCCTTCTGCCAACATGAAACAGACATGGCCGGGAAGCCAACAGGCGGGGCTGCTCTCTAAGGGGACGACCATCTTAGGCCGGAAGTAAAACTCCTGGGGTCAAGGTCTTCGATACAGACAGATCACCTGGGTGCTGGAGAGGGTAAACTCAGATCCCAGGAAATATGCCCATTTCCAGTAAGGGAAATATCAGAACCCAACATTTATAGGAAGCAGAAATAGCCCACTCTTCATCAGGAGGGACCATGCAGCTTACAAGGATTCAGAAACTAAAACCAACTAACCTGAAAGCTTCAGACCATGCCAACAAATGGGTGGCAGCAATGACTTAGTCAGCAATGGATTAACTGAGACACACAGAGAGTTCTTACCCAGTCAGGTCACGTTCCCGAAATTCTCCATCACGCCTTAATGGAGATTCCTCTCGGAAGGGCCAGGCAACGCCAGTCCCTATGAGTGACATGTATGGCCAGGGCCTCGCACATCTTCAAAGGTCACCCAATCCCGAAACACAGGATTTCTGCTGCCACCAGAATAATAATCCCCGAGGGATTTTTCAGCAGAGTAAAGGGGAGGCTCTGAGTCTCTGTCTATACCTGATGAGTAAGGACAGCTATGGAACAAGACAAGGGTCTTCCAGCAGGGAAAGGGATGGCTAGGGCTGCCGTGGTCAAGCAAATGCCACAGCAATGAAGGTGCAAGGGAAAACTGTATTTCCCTCCCCAACTCTCAACACTTTTGGTCACCAAATAGGTGTCTGTTTGGGGGTCTTCCTACACCAAATAGTTCTCTGACACCAGCTGGGTGTCCTGTAATTTTTTTTTTTAAAGATTTTATTTTTTTAATCTTTTTTAAAAATTATTTATTTTATTTATTTTTTAAGTAATCTCTACACCCAACATGGGGCTTGAACTCACAATCCCAAGATCAAGAGTCACATGCTCCACTGACTGAGCCAGCCAGGCCCCCCAAGGGAGTCTCATGATTTAACTCACTTCTGACACTGTCTACGTGGAGAGAGCATCAGATCCCACAAGTTAAGGGCTCAGTTCCACTGGATTGTCCCCACTGCGGATGCCAATCACCAAGTCCAAGTTGTCACCTGCACTTCTGACTGACTGGCTCTAAATCAGGGGTTCCCATGACCCCCTCCTCAGGTTCAATTAATTTGCTAGAGCCACTCTCAGAACTCAGGAAAACAGTTTACTTACTAGTGCCAGTTTATTACAAAGGTATTGAAAGATATGACTAAACAGCTAGATGCAGAGATCATAAGCAGAGCGTAGGTGCTTCTGTCCCCAGTGGACTTAGGCTGTGCCACCTGCTGGCACAGATGTGTTCTTGTTCATCAACCCGGAAGAACTCGTCAAATCTCACTGCCCAGCAGGTCTTACTGGGCTTCATAACCAGTCTTCTTCCCTTCCTATAGGTTGGCAGGTGGAGCTGAAAATTGCAACCCTCCAATTACTTGGTCTCTCTGGTGACCAGGCCCATTCTGAGGCTATCCAGGGACCCTACCTGCCCTAAGTCCCCTCGTCAGCAAAAACTCCTGTGTGCTTGGAAAGGGACTCCTTAAGAGTAACAAGAGATGATTCTATCACCCAGGAAATTCAAAGGGTTTTAGAAGCTCAGTGCCAGGAACCAGGGCCAAAGGCCAAATATATTTATTATACCACAGGAAGAAATGCAAACTTTAATTATTAGGTGGCCAGGCAAGGTCTCGTGAAGCAGCGAAAGGAAGCAAAGCTTACCAGACCCAAGGGCTAGGGCTGCAGCCGCCATGACCGCCATGACCGGGCCTCAGGACTTCCCTCTGCAGAGGGCGGGGTCTTCAGGGCCACGACCGGCAGAGGCTGGGGGAAAAGTTTCTGAGGACCAAAAAAAAAAAAGAGGCAGTCCTCTGCCTTGTACCCTGACCCATTCCCAATGCCCAGGGAGAGACCAGACACACAAGGCAGGAATATTTCCAGAAGGGGGAGTACGCACAGCCCTGTAGTTCTAACCCTGCATTCAAATCTGCTTCAGAAACCAGACTCTGAGGCAACAATGGACTGTAAGTACCCAGCATCCCTCCTGTGGAAGACAAGTGGGCTTCACTTTAGAATTTAAAAATCTGTGCTTGCTTCGGCAGCACATATACTAAAATTAGAATTTAAAAATCTTCCCACATATACCCTAACCATCTCGACTTGGGCCACTAAATAAGTAAACAGCTAAAAGTGTAACAAATAATAAATCTCCACTGGTCAGGGAGATATGGCATGTCTCTGCAGTGAAATACCATGAGCTACAGAGAGAATAAAGTAGATTTATATGGAAAGACCTGGAGATGTTTCATGATGCAGTAAGGTGCTGTAAGGGGAAAACCAAAGTTCAGCTTGATCCTTTTAAAAAAACATATATACCTGGTGGGAGGTGGGAGGGATGGGGGGGCTGGGTGATGGACATTGGGGAGGGTATGTGCTATGGTGAGCGCTGTGAACTGTGTAAGACTGATGAGTCACAGACCTGTACCCCTGAAACAAATAATACATTATATGTTAAAAAAAAAAGAAGAAGAAGAAGATAGTAGGAAGGGAAAAATGAAGGGGGGGATATCAGAGGGGGAGACGAACCATGAGAGACTATGGACTCTGAGAAACAAATTGAGGGTTTTAGAGGGGAGGGGGTGGGGGGATGGGCTAGCCTGGTGATGGGTATTAAAGAGGGCACGTACTGAATGAGCACTGGGTGTTATACGCAATGAATCATGGAACACTACATCAAAAACTAATGATGTAGGGCGCCTGGGTGGCTCAGCTGGTTAAGTGACTTCCTTCGGCTCAGGTCATGATCCTAGAGTCCCAGGACCAAGTCCCACATCCGGCTCCCTGCTCAGCAGGGAGTCTGCTTCTCCCTCTGACCCTCCCCCCTCTCATGCTCTATCTCATTCTCTCTCTCAAATAAATAAATAAAATCTTTAAAAACAAAAAAAACAAAACAAAACAAAAAAACTAATGATGTAATGTATGGTGATTAACATAATAAAATAAAATTTAAAAAAATAAAAATCATATATACTTAATATGAAATCTGGATGATTTTATTCTAAATCCTTGAAGGAAAGGATTAAGAGAGGTATCCATTCACTTTCCACATTCTTTTTTACACAAAGAACTTAATGAAAAACATTTTCTCTCGAATTTTTTTTTTTTTAAAGATTTTTTATTTATTTATTCGACAGAGAGAGA